TGCAGCAAGCATCTGGACTACTGCTAACATTTGTTAACACTTGTGTGCTAGACACTTTTAATTTCTTTCTATAAAGAAATTAAAATCTTTCCTCATACCATCCTGTGTGGTGAACATGAGTTTACCTGATTTTGCATGTGACATGTGGGCAGAGACCTGCGATGTGAAGTTAACAGGTAAAGGTAGTATGAACTCATCTTGCTTCAGAACCCACACACTTGGCTGTGAGTTGCTGTTTCTTCTGCAGTTAAGTAGCTTAACGTCACAGTTGGATTCTAAGTCCCAGAGTATAGGTTCTGCACCAGGAGCATTGGCACCCCAGGAGTTTGGTAGAAGCGCAGATTCTCGGGCCCCATCCCAGGCCTACTGTGTTGGAATCTGCATGTTAGCAAGGTCTACCCAATTCTCTGCACGTGGAGGCACTGTCTTAAGTCTCACAGAAAAACAGCCTCTTGGCTGCTCCAGCTATCTTTCATTCAAAGCCTGCTCTGCTAGGTGCTAAGGAGAAAGCAGGAAATGGGCTATCTGAAGGACAGGTTTGATCGAGTTAGGAGTCCACACACATGGAAGAATTAAATGCCAAGCATTAGAGATTTATTTGTCCTATCTCCTTCCTATTCCCACATTTGAGGTCCTAATTGTCACTCACCTGAACTCAGTAACCTAATTGGTCTCTTCCTCCTAATTACAACTTTTTGCCCCTGGAGTTACTGTCTTTGAACATAAGTGGACATAGGCTTTCCTCAAAACTTTGTAATGACTTTCAGCAGCTACCATAAAGAGCAAACATTTTTATATAGAACTCAAGACTTTGACAACCTCATGCATCTGCCATTTTTCTCCTTTTACTTTCCAAATTACACTGCTGCCACATTAGGCTTCCTGTCATTGATTGAATAAGCTATGCTTTCTCTCAGCAATGCCCTTCTTTGAACTGAACACTATTTTCCACTATTTTGGTTTCTAAGCCCTTCTGTGAAAGCTTCCCTCATTCACTTCTTTCACTGGACAATAATAATCAGGCACCTATTATCTGTGCACTGTTTAAAAACTTGAGACACAACAGGGAACAAAATGAAGATCTTTGCTCTAGTTGAGTTTATGTTCTATCAAAATCAGTTTTGCACCTTGGCATAACCCTTACCTAAACTAGCACAGGATTCCATTTTTCTTTTCTTTTTTTTTTTTTTGAGACAGAGTCTCACTATGTTGCCCTCAGGAGAGTGCTAGGGCATCACAACTCACAGCAAACTCAAACTCTTGGGCTTAAGTGATTTTCTTGCCTTAGCCTTTCAAGTCGCTGGGACTACAGGCGCCCCCCCACAATGCCCACCTATTTTTGTTGTTGTTGCAGTTTGGCTGGGGCTGGGTCTGAACCTGCCACTCTCGGTATATGGGGCCAGCACTCTATCCACTGAGCCACAGGTGCCACCCAACGCCCAGCTATTTTTTTTGTTGCAGTTGTCATTGTTTGGCAGGCCTGGGCCAGATTTGAACACTCCAGCCTGGATGTATGTGGCCCGTGCCCTACCTGCTGAGCTATGGACGCCACTCAGGATTCCATATTTCATTGAAGTTTGTTTACTCATAAATACCCGAGCAGCCTCCATAAGCAAAATTCTACAGAAGGATAAAAGGATAATGAGACACCTTGAATTTACAGGCTGCTAAGGGAATCTAAAACAAGATAGAATAGTTTATATTGTCAAGTAAGTGATGCTAAAAGGCTGTAAGAATTCAGTGAACAATTATTTTAGATGTGAGACACTGGGGAAGGCTTTGTGAGAGGTGACTTTGAACTGGCCCTTCAAGGATGTGAAGGACGTTCTAGATGGAGGTGGTGTGACTAACATAGACACTATAGGTGTGTACAGACAAATGGTAATTTATCACAATTGGCCAGAGAGCCAGGTGAGAGGAAAGCAGCAGGCGTTATGGTTGAGTCAGGCTAAAGAAGCTTCTATGTTACTCAATTGGTAATGGGGAACTGAAGAATTTTGGGTAAGAGAGGACCTGATTCTAGCTATGATTTAGGACAGCAGTTCTCGACCTGTGGTTTGTGACTGTATTAAAGGGCTGCAGCTCTAGGAAGGTTGAGGACCACTGATTTAGGAAAACTCATCTAATAAGAATTATACCATGGGCTTGCGCCTGTGGCTCAGTGAGTAGGGCGCTGGCCCCATGTACTGAGGATGGCGGGTTCAAACCTGGCCCTGGCCAAACTGCAACAAAAAATAGCCGGGCGTTGTGGCGGGTGCCTGTAGTCCCAGCTACTCAGGAGGCTGAGGCAAGAGAATCGCCTAAGCCCAGGAGTTGGAGGTTGCTGTGAGCTGTGACGCCATGGCACTCTACTGAGGGCGACAAAATGAGACTCTATCTCTAAAAAAAAAAAAAAACAAAAAAATTGAATTTGGGTGGCACCTGTGGCTCAGTGGGTAGGGCGCTGGTCCCATGTACCGAGGGTGGCAGGTTCGAACCTGGCCCTGGCGGAACTGCAACAAAAAATAGCTGGGTCTTGTGATGGGCACCTGTAGTCCTAGCTACTCAGAAGTCTCAGTCTCAGAGCATTGCTTGAGCCCAAGAGTTTGAGGTTGGTGTGAGCAATGATGATGCCACGGCACTCTACCTAGGGTGAGAAAGTGAGACTCTGTCTCAGAAAAAAAAAGTTTGTTGAATGAACAAGTATACAGAGTTCGGTGTTATTGGAAATAGGGAAGGCTTTGTGGAGAAAGAGGGACTTGACTTTCTCCCTCTTATCTCCCTTCCCTGACGCTTTCACTCCTAAATGTCTTTATAATTCTGTGTGGGTCCACCCCTAATCTAAATTACATGCCTGGATTGTAGAGTACCTATCTCTTGCCTAAGGACATTGTGGTAGGTACTGTAGCATCTGAGTATCCTGACGCCACTTTGAGTAACCCTGAATGTCACTCTGGTGGCCCTCATCCTTCGATGACCCCACCTTCTGCAGTTGAGGAAGATAGCTGGCTGTGTCAGTAACTTGCACCCCAGTTACTCCAGGGGTTGGGCTTCCAGTCTAGTAAACCAAACACTCTAATTTCACCCAGAGATATTCGGGCACTGGAGATCTGATGCACAAAGAAGCAAACTTACAAGAGACAGTTTAATAAACATGAGCGTTTATTAATTTACATCAAAGCTACAGCTGGCTTGACACCCAGGCTGGTCTGCTCAGGAAACCACATTATGGTGCAAAGGGTTTTGTTTAAAAAAAAAAAGTACATTTGTAAAATCACAGCACGGAAATGGGAAGTAGCTGTGGGAAACTGATAAACGGGGCTCTGGTTATCGCATTAAAGTTTCAGTAGCACTGAGTGAGGAACTTAATTCCTAAAAGACTAACCAGCTGTCAAAAATCGTAGGACTACTCTCTGAACGGAGCTCATTAAATACTAATGTTTTCTCACTCTCTAATCTACTTTCCAAACATTTGCATCGGACACTGTATAAGGCCACAATTTACCAGTTATAATCTTTAATGCATTGGACTAACCCCTGATGAAATCATAGGGATGCTTTTTTTTTTTTTTTTTTTTGAGACAGAGCCTCAAGCTGTCCCCCTGGGTAGAGTGCTATGGCTTCACTGCTCACAGCAACCTCCAACTCCTGGGCTCAAGCGAGTCTCCTGCCTCAACCTCCCAAGTAGCTGGGACCACAGGCGCCCGCCACAACGCCCGGCCATTTTTTTTGGTTGCAGCCGTCATTGTTGTTTGGCAGGCCCGGGCTGGGGATTCGAACCCGCCACCTTAGGTGTACGTGGCTGGCGCCCTAGCAGACTGAGCCACAGGCGCCGAGCCCATAGGGATGCTTTTAATGTATTCACACACATTTGCAATTTGTCTCTCAGGATGGATTATTTCAGCAAGAATTTCCAAACTGAATAGTGCTATCGATTTTTTATTACCTTAAAGTAACACTTCCTATCAGTAAGGAATTCTAGGAGGTTCTCCTTACTTGGAGAGTGTATCCGTTTTTATGTTCTTGCTGTGTTAGCTGGCCACACTTTTGTTCGGATCAAATATTTGCAGAAATAACTTTTTCCCCCCACCCCCCACTCTTAGCAAAATGGAAAAACGAACCCTCCCCAACACAAACAAAACTGCAGATTAATTTCTAGTAGGAAGAATTTGCTGGCTTGTTGGACAAAGAGTGTAAGATGAATGGGAAATGCAGCAAAGACAGAAAATAAAGCTTAAACTGCACGCAGCACATTTTATTCAAGATGCCTCAGCACGTTGCGATGCTGTGACGAAAATGGGTCCTAGATTGAATGGTTTATTCAAGATGCCTCAGGCCCTGAATTAGTGATGGACCGACTGACTCTTGCTGTAATCCCAGCCCAGAGTCCAGCCACAGAAGAATCCCCAGTTAAAACTTTAACCTGTTTCCCTGGCTTCTCCTTGAGCACACAGTCTATACTTTTTCTTTTCTCAAACTAGTAAAGTCGCGTTAGGTCCGTTTAACAGATAAAATAGCAAGTCTAAATCAACTTCAAAGACCCAGCAGGACTGCCCTCCTTTCCCAGGGAAGTTTTGCTCTCGAAGTTCGAAATGTCCTGCGCGGCGCCTTTGGTGGCCGTCGCCTGGGCCCCGCGTAGGCCACCGGCTCCCCCGCGCCCAGCACTCTGGAGAGGGGCCAGGCGCTCGCCAGCCCGAGCGCGGCCTCCTCCAGACTTGGCCCCGCTGGAGGACTTGGCGCCCGGGGCGAGGCGAGGCGGCTCGGCCGCGGGGCGGCCCGGGCGTGCGGTCCTACGGGCTGCAGGGGGCGCTGCGCGCGCCCTCGGGCCCGGCCGCCCTGCGCAGCTCTTTTTTTAAAGGGCCAGTGGGGCACGTGGCTCGGGACGCAGCTCGGCGGCCGCCTGCTGGACCTCCGAGGCTGGGCGGCTCCCGCTCCGCCTCCACCGTCGCCGCCGCGCCGAGCCGAGCCAGGCCCGACAGGCCCGGCCCGGTGACCGTAGCTGAACGAGAGACGCGGGCAGCCATGGCCGAAGCAGCTCCTGCCCCGGTAAGCGCCCTGGGCCCCGCGGACGTCCAGATGGGTCAGGCCGCCGCCGCTGCGTGGGCCCGCGCGAGGGTCTTGGGTAGCGCCCTGGACACTCGCTGGGAGGACCCTGGTCGTAGCCTCCGCGCCGGCTGTCTCCGCCCAGGAGGCGCGTGCCGGGCACCCGAGACCAGCCTTCAGCTTCAGTCTGTGGTCAGGGCACGGCGTGGAGGCTACTGACCCGGCGGCCCAAACTGCAGGCTCGGCGGGCGGGACAGGACGTCAGACGAGAGGATGAACAGGCCCCTGTGCTGTCTCTGCCAAGGCGGGAGCCCAACTCTCACTGAAGTCGATGGTGCGACCTCGCTTCTAGCTGAACTGACTAGCTGTTCCCGCCACCCATTGTCTCATTTGAGGTCCCGCACCCTACTCCCAAGACAGGCGGGGAGGGCGGGGTCGCTAGCATGGGACACCCACGGAGTTTGAGGCTGGGGAAGGGACTGGCCCAAGGTCACTCTCTAGCGGATGCTGGAGCCTCATGCCCAGTCCAGGACATTTAAGTTATCTAGTATTGTACTTGGGCCTAGGATAAGGTGACCAGATTTTAACATTGGTAAAGCGGGACACCATTGATCGGGAGTGGGGCGGAGGAGGGGTGTGTTCTTGATTAAAAATTTGGTCTATATGGAGCAACAAAAATTTTCATAGAACGCAAAAATAGTATTGTAATTTTAAAAAAATTTTCAACATAAGTACAATTTACAAGTATAATACATTAGAAAAAAATTATGTATAGGGCGGCGCCTGTGGCTCAAAGAAGTAGGGCACCGGTCCACCAGGGCAACCTTGCCCAGGAGGGGAGTAGGGAGTTTACATTAGCCTTTTCATTTCCAAATGAATTTACATTAACCTCTTCATTCCCAAATAGAGTTACCTTAACCTTTTCAGCAGCCGAAAGTATATTCCCTTCCCGTTGTCCCGCCCTTCCCTAGATTGTCGTGCATTCTTTCCAAAAAATCCGGACTTTTTAAAAACGCCTCGGGACGCGGGACAAATTTTTTTTTTTTTTTTTTTTTTTTTGAGACAGAGCCTCAAGCTGTCCCCCTGGGTAGAGTGCCGTGGCATTACAGCTCACAGCAACCTCCAACTCCTGGACTCGAGCGAGTCTCCTGCCTCCGCCTCCCAAGTAGCTGGGACCACAGACGCCCGCCACAATGCCTGGCTATTTTTTGGTTGCAGCCATCATTGTTGTTTGGCGGGTCCGGGCTGGGGATTCGAACCCGCCACCTTAGCTGTACGTGGCTGGCGCCTTAGCCGGTTGAGCTATAGGCGCCGAGCCGGGACAAATTGTTAAAAAGCGAGACGTCTGGTCACCTTAGGCCCTAGGAGAAAGAAAATGTTTATAAGAGGAAATGTGATTTTTTTTTAAAAGATTAGTTTAGCAGATTTTAGAAAATTGGCTCGATAGTGTTCAGTTCTTCCACTCCAAAGAAAAGAATCTTTTGGCCAGGGCAGCGCCTGGGGCTCAAAGGAGTAGGGTGCCGGCCCCATATACTGGAGGTGGAGGGTTCAAACCCAGCCCTGGCCAAAATCTGCAAAAAAAAAAAAAAAAAATCTTTTGGCCATTCTCTGACAAATTAGGAAAACACCTATAAAGAGTACATGAGTGATGTTATTACTAATGCACTTCAGTGAAGTTTCAATACCTCGATTTTTTCTGGATGCTTTTGAAAGGAAACTTCCTCTACCTCTCCTTTAGTGAGTTTGGTGTGCTTCCTTGTGGGTTCCCTGAGTGCAAGGGAGAGGAAGATTTGGGATTCTGTTTATGGTCCTGTTCCCTGGGGGTGGGGGTGGGGGTGGGGTTGGGGGAGAGCTGGAAGGCCTTTCAATAGCAGTGTGGGTGACATGTCAGCCCACCTGGCACCAGCTTGCTGCTTCAGTACCGTCTGACCATTTCTATCCACCTGCTCCTTTCTCTCTGGGGCCTTGCAGCACCTGAAAGCCCCAAACTCCCCAAACAGGACACATTTGCCCTCAACTCTGGTTAGTCCTTTCTGTCACACTGTTTTAAGGGTTGCTTGCTGTGGCTCTGGCCTATAATGCCTACAACTCAAGAGGCTGAGGCAGGAGGATTGCTTAAGGCCAGGAGCTCAAGTCCAGCCTGAGCAACAGAGCGAGAACCTTATCTCTTAAAAAAAAAAATAGGTATTTCTAAAAATACAGAATTTTTTTCCTGGAGAAGGAAGAACCACATTAATTTTTCTGTATTCCCATTGTACCTTTATTGACTGATTGATTGCCTGGTTGATTGAGAGAGAGTCTTGCTCTGTCACCCAGGTTGGATTATAGTGGTGCAATCATAGCTCATTCTAACCTTGAACTCCTGGGCTCAAGCAACCCCTGTCTTCCAAAGTGCTGGAATTACAGGGGTGAGTCGTGGCACCTAGCCTTGTTGCAGCTTTAGTGTGATGGGTGTTCAGTAATTGTTACTGAATGAATGCTTTTTTATCATTCATTTATTCAGTAAGTAGTTATTGAGCATCCCGATGAGTGAGACACTCTTTTAGAAGCTGGACATAAGCACTCTGGGAGTCTGAGGTGGGTGGATTGCTTCAGCTAATGAGTTCAAGACCAGCCTGAGCAAGAGTGAGACCCCGTCTCTACTAAAAATAGAAAAACTGTGGCAAGAGGATCACTTGAGCCCAAGAGTTGGAGGTTGCTGTGAGCTATGATGACGCCATGGCACTCTACCCAGGGTGACAGCTTGAGACTCTGTCTCAAAAAAAAAAAAAAAGGCTGGAAGTACAACAGTAAATAACATGCTGGGGAACAAATGTGGGGAAACACCGTAAAACAGGCAAACACATGAAAGTATGGATTATTAGTGCCATGAAGGAGCTATTGAAGAGTTTTAAGTGGGGGAATGAAATGATCTAGTTTGTGTTTTTAAAAGATTCCTGATTAGTCTATGTATTGTGGGAGAGAAGACTGAAGTGGGGAGATTTGGCAGGCAGACTTGCAGTGGCTGCCAGGCTGCTGGGGACTTGGACTAGGTGATGGCAGCAGAGAAGGAGGAAAGTGGATAGGGTTGAGATGATTTCGGAAGTCAAATGGTTAGGACTCAAATCATGAAGGACAAATGAAATGGAAGAGTGAGATGCTAATTTGTCATTGTGGAAGGCTTTTAGCAACATGAACCAGGAATGGGCCGTTTGCATTTGTACAGTGAAGGCTTATAAATTAGACACTCAGGCACTCAGTGCTTTTTTCCAAAGGCACTGAAAGATGATGGAATAAAAGAGGTGGAGAGAAGAAAAGGCCTCGCCAACTATTTCATACTGTATTCCTGAGCCAAGACCACACCATCATCAATAAGTCAATACCATAGGTTGGGTGGCATAAACAACAGAAATTTATTTATTATAGTTCTGGAGGCTGGAGGTTCAACATCAAGGTGCCAGCTGATTTGGTTCCCTTTGAGGCTCTCTTTGTGCTTTTTAGTTGATTGTCTTCTCCTTGTGTCCTTAGCTGGAAGAAAAAGAAATCATCTTTCTTGTGTCTCTTCTTTTTTTGAGACAGAGTCTCACTATGTCATCCTCTGTAGAGTGCTACGCCATCATAGCTTACAGCAACCTTAAACTCTTGGTCTTAAGTGATTCTCTTGCCTCAGCCTCCCATGTAGCTGGGACTACAGGCGCCTGCCACAACGCCCAGCTATGTTTTTTGTTGTTGTTGCTGTTGTTTAGCTGGCCTGGGCAGGGTTCGAACCCAACCCACCACCTTCAGTGTATGTGCTGGCTCCGTAACCACTGTGCTACGGGCGCTGAACCTTGTGTCTCCTCTTATAAGGGCACTAATCCTATCTATGAGGGCTCTTCCTTCATGACCTAATTGCCTCCCAGAGGTCCTGGCTCTGAGGGCCATCATACTGGGGATTAGTGCTTCAACATACAGATTTTTGGAGTGACACAAACATTCATTCCATAGTAGTCCTTACCTTCTTACCCCTATTAACATAGGACTCATGTTTATTACTTATTGTGTGCTAGACATTGTACTAAGTGTTTTTTTTTTTTTTTACAAAAATGCTCATTCATTCTCACAATCTTATTATGTAGGTACTATTATTATCTCCATTTTCTAGATGTGAAAATGAAGTTGAAAGATATTTTAAAAACCTTGCTCACAGCTGGCCAGCTTATGAATGGCAGAACTGCGAGTCATACCTGGGCTGTCTGACTGCAGTGCTTATGTTCTCTTTGTGCTACAAAGCCGTGGCCCTTCATTGTCTGAGGACTGGATTGAGACCCAGGAATAAGAGTCATTTGCCTGAGACTGCTCATGCTTCTTCTCTGCGGCCATGTTTTCCCTCCTGTCTCTCACTTGTGAGCAGCTTAGTCTAGCCAGTATCTCCTGTCACCAAAGCTGAATTCCTAAGTGATATCCCAGCCTCCCTGTCCACCTCCTCTCTCCTACTAACTGGCCTGCAGGATCCCAGATGGGGCTTTCCCAGGGCAGATGCAATTCTGAGGGTTTTGGGGGAATGGAAATTTTGATTGTATAATTCCTAAACCATCTCTCTTTTCTTGTGAGCAGGCTTTGGAGAGGGACAAGCAAACAGAGAACCAGAGGCCTTTGACTCCTTCTCTATCACCCCAGCCAGCCACTGAGAAGAGTTCATATCTCTACTCCACGGAGATTACACTGTGGACAGTGGTGGCTGCCATTCAGGCTTTGGAGAAGAAGGTAGATTCCTGCCTGGCCCGCTTGCTGACTCTGGAGGGGCGCACAGGGACAGCCGAGAAGAAGCTGGCTGACTGCGAGAAGACGGCTGTGGAGTTTGGCAACCAGCTGGAGGGCAAGTGGGCCGTGCTGGGGACCCTGCTGCAGGAGTACGGGCTGCTGCAGAGGCGGCTGGAGAACGTGGAGAACCTACTGCGCAACAGGAACTTCTGGATCCTGCGGCTGCCCCCGGGCAGCAAGGGCGAGGCCCCCAAGGTAGCCCTTAGGCACCCTGGGCTGGGAGAGTCTGAGGGCCAGCCTGTGAGCATGTGGGTGAGTGCCTGCGACACTTATGGTTCTAGGTGCCCGTGACCTTTGATGACGTGGCCGTGTATTTCTCTGAGGTGGAGTGGGGCAAGTTGGAAGACTGGCAGAAGGAGCTCTACAAGCACGTGATGAGGGGCAACTATGAGACGCTGGTCTCCCTGGGTAAGGCTGCACAGGGAGGACTCAGGCCTCTGCCTGAAGGCTGGCTCCTGCAGTCTGTGTCTTTACTTTGGCTTCTGTTACTTTGGGGGGTCTCTGTATCTCTGTGGGCATCTGAGACCTAGCTCTCCCCATTCCCCATTCTATGCATAGATTATGCCATCTCCAAACCGGACATCCTTACCCGGATAGAGAGGGGAGAGCAGCCTTGTCCTGGAGACCAGTGGGATCAGGAGAAGGGGAATGAGGAGGAGGCAGCATGCCCAAGGAAGCCTGGAGCTGGTAAGATGGGGCAAGATGGGGAGCAGTTGGGGTAGGCTGAACTGTAGTCCTGCCTTCTTGGGCTTCCCAGACAATCTCAGAGGCCAGGACAGGAGCTTAGATAACCCAAAGCAGGGCACCATCTCTTCAGGGCCACCCCAAGTAGGCAGGTGGAAGACTTTTCCTTAGAGCCTTAAGGTTTTTCCATCTGTATTACAGGACAATCACACCTCATGTGAGAACTAAATACAATGGTGAGCATGTGCACACTGAACATTTTATAATTGTGGGGACTTCTTATTACTAATAGTAACACCAGCTGCAATATTGTTGCTGCCTTCTGAAGTCTCTGGGGATGTCCATGTCCAGCCTGTGCCCATATCACTGCTCTCCAGTTCCAGCTGCAGCAGGAATGCCTGTCAGGGGCAGGGACTGCTTCACGCTGTGGAAGTGGCCCTTGGGAGAGGCTGCGCATGCTCCATCCCTATAGCTGACATATAGGACAGTGCTTCCAAAGGGGACCACAAATCAGAATCCTGCAGGGACTTCAGTAAAATAAGTTTTAAAAAATAAATGAAAGTAGATAGACTAGTACAGTGAATTTCCAAAGGATCATCACCCAGATTCAAACAGTAATTGAGAGTTTGCTACATTTGCTCCATCCATCTGTTTTCTTTTTTTCTGAACACAACTACAATACCAATATCACACCCACAGAATGTCTTCTGATCCTTAGCCCTTGGTCTGTATTTTCTGATTGTCTTGAAAATGTTTCTATAGGTGTTTTCATCCTAATTCTAACAGACCAAAGTATACAGGTTCCATTTAGTATATGTGTTTCCTGAGTTTACAAAAAGCCTGTAAACACCCCCCCCCATCCTTTTCTGACACCCCTATTGAGATATAATTCATATCCTGTACAATTCACCTCTTAAGGTATACAATTCAGTGTTTCTTAGCATATTCACAGAGGTGTCCAACCAGCACCACAATCCAAATTTAGACACTTCTTGTTCCATTGGAAAGAAACCCTATATCCACCAGCAGTCTCTCCTGTCTCCTCTCTCCTGCTCAGGCAACCACTGTTCTGCTTTTTGCATGTAGGGATCTGCCCATTCGGGACACTTTGTATACGTGGACTTGTGCAATATGTTTTCAAGGTTTGTCCCTGTGTTAGCATGTCAGTACTTTGTTCCTCTCTGCTGCATAATGCCCTGTTGTGCAGATATACAACATTTTGTCTGTTTGTCGTTGATGGATCCTCCATGCCATTTATTTGTTGACAACTTATTGTTATTTCTTATGTCTTTTTTAATGACCATATTTGGATTTGGTGTCATTTAGCATGCTCTTTTATTTCCTGCATTTCCTATAAGCTGGTAGGTAGCTCTAAAGGCTTATTTAGGCTCAAGATCAATTTTTTGGCAAGACTGCTTCAGATGTGGTTCCTGTAGGGTGCTATATCACATCAGGAGGTACAAGAAGTCTAGTTGTCTGTCTTTCAGTGATTGTCAACCTTATTCTTCTATTGTAAAGTTCCCCATCAGATTGTAATTGCCATTGAATATTGTCTAGATTCATTATCTCATTGGCGTTTGCAGTATGGTGAAATTCTGTTATCACTTCTGGACTTAATAGCAGAAATTCTTTTACAAAGAATAGTTTCTCTTTTTTTTTTTTTTTTGAGACAGAGTCTCACTTTGTCACCCTTGATAGAGTGCCATGGCGTCATAGCTCAGAGCAACCTCCAACTCTTGGGCTCAAGTGATTCTCTTGCCTCATCCTCCCAAATGGCTGGGAGTATAGGCACCTGCCACAATGCCCAGCCATTTTTAGAGATGGGGATCTCGCTCTTGCTGAGGCCAGTGTTGAACTCCTGAATCCAGGCAATCTGCCCACCTCAGCCTCCCAGAGTGCTAGGATTATAGGTGTGAGCCACTGTGCGAGGTGAGAGTAGTAGTTATCCTGAAATATAACCTGCGTAGAAGAGGCAGGATAGATGCTTAATTCTTTCCTGCATCAGTTTCAGAATGAAGAGTCACTGCCTTATATCTTTGGGGGTGACCCATGACTTGGACTTTCTTTATTTGAAATATGACTATGACTCTACAAATTGTTGAATATCTTGCATGTGTCATTCTTTTGAAGCTATTATTCTCTTGCTTAAATTGTCCCATCTTCAGTAGGAATTTTTTTTTTCTTTTTGAGCCAGTCTCACTATGTCACCCTTGGTAAAATGCTGTGGTGTCACAGCTCACAGCAACCTCATATTCCTGGGCTCAAGTGACTCTCTGGCCTCAGCCTCCCAAGCAGCCGGGACTACAGGCACCTGACACAATGCCCAGCCATTTTTTTGCAGTTGTCAGGCTGCCAGTTTGCAGGCTGTGGCTGGCGCCGTAACCACTGTGTTACGGGCATCAAGCCAGTAGGAATTCTTTAAATGGGCCCATAGGTCATTTTGATGTGACCCCAGTGGCCAAAAGATGTGACAGATTCATCTGTGTGTTTCCTTGCCCAACCTGACTCAACATTTCTTCATGGATTTTTGATTCCTTTCAGTGAGGAATGGTGTTTAGGGCCCCCAATATGAGTGTTAGTTTTTCCTAATTTTTAGCATTACTTCTAGGCTTTTTCAGAAAAGTATGTTTTTTTTTTTTTTTTTTTTTTTTTTGAGACGGAGCCTCAAGCTATCCCCCTGAGTAGAGTGTCATGGCATCATGCTCACAGCAACCTCCAACTCCTGGGCTCAAGCGAGTCTCCTGCCTCAGCCTCCCAAGTAGCTGGGACTACAGGCGCCCGCCACAACACCTGGCCATTTTTTGGTTGCAGCCATCATTGTTGTTTGGTGGACCCAGGCTGGGGATTCGAACCCACCACCTTAGGTGTATGTGGCTGGCGCCTTAGCCGCTTGAGCCACAGGCGCCAAGCCAAAAATATGTATTTTTGAAAATAGAAAAATCATGAGTTTATATTGATGTTTTGAACACAAATTTAATATTTTTTTTTTTTTTGAGATAGAGTCTTAGTTTGTTGCCCTCGGTAGAGTGCTGTGGTGTCACAGCTCACAGCAACCTCCAGCTCTTGGGCTTAGGCAATTTTCTTGCCTCAGCCTCCCGAGTAGCTGGGACTACAGGTGCCTGCCACAGTGCCCAGCTATTTTTTTGTTGTGGTTTGGCCAGGGCTGGGTTCAAACCCGCCACCCTAAGTATATGGGGCTGGCGCCCTACCTGCTGAGCCAAAGGCACTGATCACAAATTTAATATTCTTGATTTTATACTTGTATATTACTTTCCTTTTACATGAAAATCTTAAATTCCCAACTAAATTAGCCTAATTACTTGTGCATGATTTTATATCCAATCCTAACATTTAATTATCCTGTAACGTCTTACAATTTCAAAATAATGAAGCCAGTAATTGTAGTAACAATTAGACCTTGGATTGAAATCTAAGATTTCTTTGCAGCTCTCTTTATTTTCTGCGTACATTCTATTTGGGACTTACAGGCAAATTAATACCTTTTAGACTGGGCATGGTGGCTTGTGCCTATAATCACTTTGGGAGGCCAAGGCAAGAGGACCACTTGAAGCCAGAAGTTCCAGACCAGCCTAGGCAACAGTGAGACTTCTGTCTCTACAAAAAATAAAAAAAAAAAATTATGCAGATGTGGTGGCACACTTGTAGTCTCAGCTACTCCAGAGGCTGAGGCAGGAGGATTGTCTGGGCACAGCAGTTTGAGGTTACGATCATGCTACTGCATTCCAGCCTGGGCAACAAAGTTAGACCCTATCTCTTGGAAAAGTTTAAAGTCACTTGAGATAATTGGCTCAGCATCTGTAGCTCAGTGGCTAGGGTGCCGGCCATATACACTGGGGCTGGCAGGTTCAAACCCACCCCCTACCCCGAGCCTGGGACTGCCAAACAACAATGACAACAATAACCACAACAAAACAGCCGGGTGTTGTGGTGGGCACCTGTAGTTCCAGCTACTTGGGAGCCTGAGGCAAGAGAACTGCTTAAGCCCAAGAGTTTGAAGTTGCTGTGAGTTGTGACACCATGGCATTCTACCAAGTGTGACATAGTGAGACTCTGTCTCAAAAAAAAAA